GGGTGCATTTTGGCAGAATGCTGCTCCTTGTTCATGACCTAGGCGAGGAATCATACCACGGATGAGTGCAAAAATTACAACCCCCAAATGTCCTGGTTTCCTGGCCATGCTCACACTCTTTGCAGACTACAAGCCCACATGCAACACCACATAGAGCAACAGAGAGCAGAGAACTGGCCAGCTCTTGTTTTCCTTCAATTTAATCACGTGTAATCAGTATTTCCCCAATTATTATTTGTAAATGGTAGTATTTTGAAGGAGCAAAACCTCATTGTCTAGTAGACATGTAGCATACATTATGTCAATCGCCCAAAATCCGCCTCACAAAATCTTAGCTATTTTTAGAACCAGCGAGTTTGCAATTACATGTACAAACGTTCGCAAAGCATTGGGACCACCTCCATTATACCGACGGTTGAAGTTTGATTTCACGCTGTTCCAAATTTGCGTTATGCTCCTCTCGTGGAAATAGGGAACATTTATCTGCTGGGAATATTAGCAAGAGTACATAAATCCCAGAGGGTTTATGTACTCTTGACATTAGGCAGCTTACAGTGGACAACAGTCACTTCAGGAATTGTGCAGCACAAGGCAGTATGAGATCCCAATCAGATTTTTACTCCATCAGTTGCAGATTTTCTTATTCGTATAACAGGAGGAATCCCGTTCACATACAAACAAGTTGCTAGTTGTACTTATTAATTTTATGAAACTCACTTCCTTAACTCGTGGTTCAATTTAAATTAAACGAGAAGTTAAGGCAAAAATTAAAATTTCACCAGTTGTTGTCTTCGGGGTGCGGAGTCGAATGGTCTTGGTCCGAGAAAGCTGAGACGCTCCCTTCCTACTTGAATCCCAATCGAACTCACGCACTTCCACTGAAACTGGGTGACTGCGCCCTACTAGATGGGGATTTGCATGCAAAATGTCACTAAAAGCGCCGTTTCGTTCTTATAAAAGCACGGATGACCGCGATTGGCCCATATGTTGTAGTCTTTTGGACGCTGAGTCGACTGGTTTTGGTCCGAAAAGGCTGCGATGCGGCGTTCCTCCTTTATTCCCAATCGAACATGGTTGAACAAGCGGTCACGTGCTCCTGCGTACACCAGTCAGCTGGTCACCGTGCCTGCAGGGTACAACTTACTAGCCTGTTTGACCTTTTTTGGGTGCAGTCCTGTCACTCGAGTTGAACTCGAGTTGAATCTTGGCGTGGAGACCAGGTGATTTGGGCACCCAGGAGCACGTGACCACTTGTTCAACCATGTTCGATTGGGAATAGAGGAACGCTGCATCGCAGCCTTTTCGGACCACAACCAGTCGACTCAGCGTCCAAAAGACTACAACATATGGGCCAATCGCGGTAATCCGTGCTTTTATAAGAACGAAACGGCGCTTTTAGTGACATTTTGCATACAAATCCCCATCTAGTAGGGCGCAGTCACCCAGTTTCGGTGGAAGTGCGCGAGTTTGATTGGGATTCAAGTAGGAAGGGAGCGTCTCCGCTTTCTCGGACCAAGACCATTCGACTCAGCACCCCGAAGACTACAACTGGTGAAATTTTAATTTTTGCCTTAACTTCCCCTTTAACAGTAAATATTTTGGGCCTGGCCCATCAGGGTACTTACTAGAACCAAATAATGACCAAGAATGGCGGCATGGCTATAGAGCTGCATTGCTATAGGGCTGCATGCTTCAGACCTGGCACTGCAAAGAGCAGGCGGTGGCCAGACCCCATGCACCAGTCCAGTCTTCTACCAGTGTGAGGGACCCAGCAGTGTCATCATCAGCAACAGCAGCACACGCACGGTTCAATAACCAAATATTCGAACACTTCCTTCTTCTCCAAATGACAACCGCTCTATTCGGGCAGCTGCTATTCATAGCAACTGAATAGAGTGGTTGTCAGTTGACAAACCTCCTTTTCTCCGAATATGATAACAAATAATATAACTTCACTAGTTTGAGGGAAAATTATTTTTGTGTATCGAAGGTCCACCAGTTTGCACACAAACCAAATGAACAAAGAAATGAGAAAAATGGGAAGAATGGGAAGGCTGCAATGGTTATATCTTCATTGTATTGGTAACGGTCCCATACTTGTTGTAGTCTGGTACCATCATACATACTTTTCGTTGTATGAGGTCAGCAGCTAAAAACCCATCTTACACCATAGTCCCACACAGCAATGCTCATTTTTTCTTTCTCTGGATCTTTCCGCATCTCCATTCCATTCAGCCATCGTCTATCTTTGCACATACACTCCAGAGTACCCATCATCAATCAGAGCAGTTCCCTCCCGCATTTTTCCGGTCTCAATGCAGAATTGAACCTCTCACATGGTATGTGTACCACAACATCATCCGGTGTATCAAAAGTCAAAACACACTCTCACAAGTGTGTGTACAATGCTGGTCTACGAATGCATCAGAAAAATCACCGGAAGCAAACCTGGCCGATGTCTGCACAGAGTGTGAATAGATCACAGCTTGCAAGCTACTGATGATGATGTCATCATATGCACATATAACTATGGAAACTGCTAAACATGTCTATTTAGTTCTTTATAGACAGTGCAAGTGTTGGATTTGAGGCACGGAAATTGGCCATGTCCATATTTGCCCGGAGAAAGAAGACACTTAAAGTCACTTGCACTGCAGCAGCAGCAGCAGGAGTATCAGCAGCAGCAGCAGGAGCAGCAGCAACAGCGGCAAACTATTTAATATACGAAAAAGTATTTTCTCGAGCTTACTTTGTTTGTAGAACCAGGATGGCCACAGCCCATTGGGAATTGCAAGTTCCAAACGGAATTTTCATCCCAATACCAAGGTAGCAAAGAGAGAAGGATACAGAGCTTCTTTCAATCCAATACATCTGCTATAATGGAAACAGTCAAAAGAAAGAAAGGAATGAAACAGCTCAGGAACAACTAGCAGTCTGAAATGACAAGGCTCTTTTCCCATAGCACTTCAGAACTCAAAAGGATCGGCAAGGAAACTGAGAACCAATTTACTCGACAATAGTGCTTACAATATTATTCCCTCGCGGAAATGACCACCACTAGAAGTTGAAATAACTCCGCAGGAAAGACATCTGCCAGATGCAAACAAAAAGTACAGTGAAAAGTACATCAACTTGACATGGTATGATTTCCGTAGTGTAAGTCATACTAGACCGTATTTGTCGGAGAATAGTGCGCCCTTTAGATGCACTTTTTAAGCCTCCAAACCACAGGTTTCAAAGCCAATACGAAAATGCATTCACTTAAATAAAAGTAGTGTTATCCATCAAACTGTTGCGATAAGGCTTTAATATTTCGAGCAAAGTTCAGCTCATCGTTTCCAACAACATGTCATTACTTTTAAAGCTCAATAGGACCTGTGTTGCTTCAGATATGCCTACTGCATGGAAAGACCAAAGACTATTTCAGGCACAATAATCATCATTAGCAACCATTATAAACGTATACACCTCCATACTCATTACTCACTCTTCATTCAATGCATACATTCTCAATGATCAAAACAAAAAGTAAAGTGGCTCAGAACTGGACAATTCACATCTCAATGGCTGTTAACTAAGGCCATCAGATATACTGAATCGCCTAGTGAACAACTCAATGCAATGGAAAACATCCGGTTCTGAACAGAGAGAAAAGCTTTTGCGGAGGGACACAAAGTTTGTTGATCAGTGACAGCCAATAAGGCTAGAGTTTTGCAGAATTTACGCATCTGACCAAAAATAGAATGATAAAATCATTTCGTCTTTTTTGCATACCGTAGTGACGCACATAAGGCCCATGCACTTATGAGTGAGTTTTTGCTAAATTTTGCGGATTGTTTTGTCTCACACATAGGCGCAGGTACCCGAGTTACTAGTGTACCGGTACCTTGCATAGGTATGCACATAGTGCAGTACTGCAATGCACATTGAACTATGTGAACATGGTGTTTTTGTGGTGTCTGTGTGTCACGGGATGTACTGCATTTAGGTTCACATATAAGCCCATGCGCATCATGGCCAGCAATCGAGGACATCTGAGAGTTGTAATTTTTGTACTCCTCCGAGGTGTGATTTTTGGCGTGCTGGGCCAAGCACAAGGAAGCCATCTGCAAAAAAACTGCAGAAAATGGTTGTTGTTTGATCCTTTGGTGTAATCTTTGTTTCTAGTCGAAGCTAGTTGCTGTTTGGAGCAGAAACGCTGAAATTGACTATTTTCTGCATGTACTCATACATGTACTCATGTACTCAGGCATGCAGTCTTACTCGTATTTTAGCTCTTTTTCTGGAATGGATGCTGCTCTGCGCCCCTTGGTGAACATTTCCTGCGCTCGTGGAGCAGCTGAAAAGGACCACTGGTATGTCTAGTTCCTGGTTTGAAAGTGGAGAGTCGACTTTTGTGCCTTGAAAAAGGAGTAGAGAGCGATAAAGGTACGTCTGTGACTTATTTTTGAGTGCTCCTCGTACATTTTTGATCGTGATAGAAATTCTCAGACCAAAGTCAGACCAAAGTCAGGGCGATGATGGCCGTACAGTTTTCTTGTGGATTTTTTAGTTGTTTCATCTCGTATCTATGTCAGTATCGTGATGGTGAAGTGGAGAGGGTGATTTTCTTCCTCTAGGCTTCGTTCGGCCGACTTTGCTTCGTCCTCGTTGAAAAGTGATCCTGAAAAAAAGGTCGATTCGCAAAATTATGTTGATTTTGAATGTACGTGATGACATACGATTGCTGGCTATGATTTGTGAGGGTGCGCTTATGCCCGGGCATAGGCACATGTGCTTATATGCGCGTCACTACGGTAGCTGCCAATCTTCCCTAATTTTGTCCTACTTTCTGTCTACAACCTTTTCTCAATACATGCGTCAGAACAGATAGCCATATCATCACAGGACAGCACAACACATGGCTATCCTGAATACCTATAGCCACCTCTATTCATCATAAGCATGCAAGACCCAACAGCACTGATCTTCAACTATACATAATACAGAGGTGCACTTGCCTTGTAATATCTTCTGAATGGTCTCGTGTTACTGATGCTGGAGACATGTTGAATTGTACCTGTGCATAAAGTAATGGAAAATCGAAAAAGCAGGGTCTCAAAAATGATATTCCTTTTGCACCTTTTTTGGGTGATTTTGGCCGCTGAGATGGCTGCTGCTTGTTCATGACCCATGCCAACAATTGTATCACGGACAAGTGTAAAAATTACAACTCCCAGCGTATTTGTTATGCACTGTGAAATATGCGATGTAACTAAGGTTCTAAGGGGCTGCAGTGAAAAAGTAAACCCGTGTTACCTCTATTACAAGCGCAGTCTCTGGTAGAAGCTCTGTCTAGTTTATAAGCGCACTCCAAGAGGGCTTCGAAGATATGCACGCGCAGTCTTCAACATAAGCGCAGGGCTTGTAATGGAGAACCGTATGGATCATGTCCATGCAGGTTTGATGTCACACAGTATCACATAAACACAATCAGTCATGCTGTTGTAGGACTGTGATACTCGAGATAGTCTATACAGACTCAGTGTACCAGAAAGCAAAATACTTCAGTCCCGGTACCTGCTGGGATATTTCTGCTACGTTTATAATGAAAAATAATAGGCAATGTACATGCACCAGGTGGTTGAAAAATTATACTTCGAAGTAAGCTCAGTCTCTAGTAGAAGCCCAACCTCCAATATAAGCCCGTTGTCCGGACTGGTTGAAAAGATACAAGCGCTGGTAATGGAGAAAATACGGTGAAGCAATAAACATTGAGCAAAAGAGAAGTTCGCTAGATTCACCTGTGAGTGAAACAAAGGACAATGTGAACATTGAGAATTCGTGTTCTGCTCCGGTACATCCACACACAGAACATTACACTTGGGCGAAGCTGCCTTGCAAGATGGCCAACAGTAGGGATTGCAGGATAAAATTCAAATTCATAATTCAAGCTAGCTTGTTCTTGGACAATGTCACCCAGGTAATAAGAAATCCAATGGTACCATTTTTAACGAAATCGGTCCAGGCATTCTAAAGTTATAGCCATTTTTCTACGGCGAAATGGGTGTATTTTTCTCTGGCGATCAAATGGGAAATCGGCTCAAAACATGGTCAAACTACTGCATAGCCACCACCTAGCTACATACATTTTCACACGAATCAGATGAAATTAATTATTTGGTTCACAGCCGGGCTCTTATCCTTGCCTTGACCGGATGGCATATGCACGCTTCGATTTGGCGAACCTACCCCTCTTCTTCACACGGGACAAGGACATCAAGTCACCAGAACGGCTTTGGCCATTGCCGACACGGACGGCAAGTCACCAACACGCCGATGTTGCGGATGCCGTCTTCCGTGGAGCTTGTGATTCCAGTAACTTAGTTGCGAACGAAATCCAGAAGACGCTGTCGATGGGAGCTGGGATCAGGCTGATCATGGTGAGAGATACTGCATCAGCTCCGACACAAACCAGTTCGATCGGTAATGACGGCAGCTCACTGTTCTCCGCCAGTGCACGAGTCGTAAATCCAAGCCGCCGCCTGTTCTCCTTGTTCCTCGCAAACAGGAGATAGTACAGAATAGTGTACTACGTCGTGCTCACTAGGCACAGCGCAATCCTGGTCTTCGTGCTGCTTGATATTCCACGATCAGCTGCCTGCGCTGGGGGTAACACCTAGTTCCTAGCGTACATCTACTCTTCTTCTTCGCACTTGAAAAATCGCCATGTCGGAGGTGCTTTTAGTCCTACTCGGCGCACTCAAATTTTGTTGCGCTGCTCTACCTTGCTTGAGAAAAACACCGTGATTCCGAAAGGTTTTTGGGTGCTGAAGCTGAAAATCGGTTTAAGAATCCCCTAAGATGTCGTTTTAAACTTGAAAATCGCCTTGAATTTCTTCTTTGACTGATCGCAATGGCCTAATTTTGTCCCGCAGCGACCAAAACCCCCACATTGGACAGCTAAAAACCTCAGGAAGCCACTGGTGACTTCAAAAATCCTCCAAAACTTACCACTAAGATGTCGTTTTAAACTTGAAAATCGCCTTGAATTTCTTCTTTGACAGATCGCAATGGCCTAATTTTGTCCCGCGGCGACCAAAACCCCCACATTGGACAGCTGAACCTCAGTAAGCAACTGGTGACTTCAAAAATCCTCCAAAACTTACCATATCCCAGCGCACTGGCCTAGAATGAACCGTCATCGCATGACCAAGCCTTTGTGTGTAGCGCGCGGAGAAAGTCCTCGAACCCAGTCGGCCAGATCCTGGATCCCTACCAACAAATACAATAAGTTGGTCATTTATCTTGACCATGCAAGCGTTGGATTTTAGACACTGAAAGCTGACCATGGCCACAGCTGACCAACAAGACGTTTACATAGCAGCTGATCTTCTCTTTTCAGAAGATTTATTATTTTTGCTTTGTTTTGGTCCGGTGTTATTCATTCTATTCAGTCGTCCCGAGCAAAACTAATTCATACTGAGAACTGATGGTGAGAAGCGTTGTTACTAACAGGTGGACTTCACTGTAGACTGGCTTGGCAGATTGGAATAGCATAAGTTTTTCCACTTCCCCTCTTTCATGTGCTCTGGAGAAGCTCACGACAAGAGTTTGAAGTGACTTGGGCAAGTTTTCAAGTGCTCAAACACCACAATTTGCAGCATATGCGCATCAGACTTTGACCTTTTTCTAGACTCGTCTACGTAGATCTACTCGTAGATCTGTTATGCATCTGCAGTCGTAGATCTACTGAGTAGATCTACTGTACTCGACTGCACACGTACACTGCGCCAGAAGTGTGCCAGAAGTTCCCAGAACGCAGGATTTTGTGTCTTTTTTACAAAAATTTCCCCTCCCTCCGACACGGCCTTCTGCCGCACCAACCTTCGGCCGTACCACTTCCAAAACCCCTCCTACGCCCCTGAATAGAAAATAGATCTTTGGAACTTGCCGGAGCCAACACTTGGCAGTGGTTTTGTCAGCCAGAGTACAACCGGTGCTTGGAAAGTCGCTTATACAATAGAAGCTTTGCAGTACATTTGACCCCGACGCTTGGTAGTGCAACAACTTACTAAGTAAGGTAGCTGATAATGGCAGCGTGCTTGCCGTCGGAATCTAGAAAGTCCGTCACTCGCGTAGGGGCTACAGCAAGGCAGTCACTCAGTCACTCAGCCAGGCCATCCAGAGCACGAGTCAAAGGTAGTTAGGCAAAAACGGAGGACGGTGGATTCACCTGTGAGAGAAACGAAGGAGAAAGCAAACATTGAGAATTCGTGTTCCGCTCCGGTACATCCACACACAGAACACTACACTTGGGAGAAACTACCTTGCAAGACGGCCACCATTCACAGTCCAGCAGATACAGTTTCGCAAGACGGAGTTATTTGGACTGTCGAACAGACTCACCAATGGCCTCACACAAAGTAAAAAGTAAAATACTGAACACTAACGCACGGCACTTACCACGAAATGTACACGCCATCTTCACAGAACTCTCAAGTCACCTCACAACAACAGAGGAAGCCGAGCGACTGAGCCGCTGAATTGTGAAACCAGCTGCGAACTGACGGCCCTGCAATGTCGAAACAGTAGAATAGTCTGTACGAGTTCCTCCTCGAGAGTCGCTTCCTGTCTACCTCGAATGGATGCACAGCACTGGTGTCGAAGAGAAAGCAGGTACCGTAGGCGATAACACGGCCAGTAGACTGGTTCCCTTTCTGCCATTCCGTCTCCTTTTCTTCAACCACCGAGCGTTACTGCCGTTAGTCGAAGTGTGAATACAAACTTCACCCGCGCTGCGCCACTTCACTAGGTCGGAGACGCAGTGCTAAACTTTGCAGTTGTGTAGACTGCGAACGAGCTGCGTTGTACACTCAGTGTAATACCTGGTTCACACTTGGCCGATTTTCCGGCCGATGCTTCAACACCGATTCCGACAAGAAATCCACCGACTGTGTCGGATGAGCTGTTGCGTAGCCGAGGTTGCACTGAACGGTTGGCGGCGGCTAGCCAGGGTCAACGACATGAACGGCTTCGGTATCAGACTGCCACTAGGGCCCGGTGTAATATGCCCGAAACTTTGCCGAAAATGCTTTTGGGAAATTCTCGCAAACCTTGCCGAAAATGCTCGGAAAATGCTTACTTTTTTGTCATCCTCAGCACACGCCGTCAAAACCAGGGAGTCAGAAAATACTCAATAAGAGACTTGCTCGAGTCTGCATTCATAAACTACTCAACAAGAAGCTAACCCACGGAATGCGGAAGTGACGTTCTTGTTTGGGAAGTTTTTGTTCTCTCATTTTGATACACAACGGCCAAGTGCTCCGTTTCCCCCAAAATGCTGCATCACGAGCCCAAAGTGCTGGGTTCGCGGATTGTACCGAAAATGCTCAAAAATATGCCGGCATATTAGTAATATGCCGGCATATTATTACACGGGGCGGGGGGCTTACTGCCACCATAACACCTAAAACTAGTGCGACGAGAAAATCGCCGCAGATCTGTCGGAAACCATGTCGGCCGGAAAATCGGCCTACAAAAATGTGAAACAGGCATAAGACATGTAGGCTGTAGCTACATGTACATCATGTAGCTAGCTGTATCTACTTTACATGTAGGGTCTGTTCACATGGCTCACACACGTAGACTCTACACGTAGATCTACACGTGGGGCACAGCATGCGCGTACCTAGCCTGTACTGTAGTAGACGGTATGGGGTACAGACACTACGCGTCCCAGCTCCAGTGTACACGTAGATTTACTAGTAGATCTACGGGGAAATAGATTTTGTTTTCTGATGATCGCTTAGTGCGTGAAACTCTGAGTAAAAAAACTTCCTCTATCCTCCTATTGTTTGATTGTTTGATTTTGTTTTTAAAGGGGAAGTGCATCGATTTTTCGAGTATGGTCCAGAAGAAAGACAATTTGATATCGGTTCGAATGGCATATCTCTCGCTTCCATACGATAAGCCAAACTTGCCAAATCGCCAATTGTATACTCACGTTGCCATAGCGACCAGCGCAGTGATGACGTACGAAAGGCTTAGCTCCACCACAGAGAAGGTCGATCACTGCAGAATTTGGTCATTTTCAATTGGTTTATTGTATTCACGAAGTGAAAGAAGGGCTGTGTTCAATGCTGTAAGTGCAGTGAACTGTTTGTTAGTAGTCCTCTCGGTTGTGTACTGGGACGTGACACCGACAGGAGAAAAGCTGGAGCGCGGAGACACCAGCAGGCAAGCGAAAATAGTGACGAACAAAATGCTGAAATCTTGGTTGGGACAAATGAGACGTTCAGCATTTCCCCCAACCAAGGACCATGCCGTTTGCTCTTTCCACGTCCTGAAGATGAATGTGATGCTTCCTGGTGACTCTCCTATCTCTCGTAACATCTTCTGAAGCCAGGTGAGACGACGGGTGGTGGAGATTGACGAATGAAATAATGTCGTAGGTTTGAAAGTTTGCTGAAAATGTCTCAGGAGAGACGGCGAATTCCAAGCATCTTGTCCTGGAGGAAACCATTTCCTAGGCACAGTCAGCCTAGGGAAATGCATGAGAAGGGCGACAAATAGTTCACGGCACTAACAGCATTGAACACAGCACTTCTTTCACATCGTGAATACAATAAGACAATTGAAAATGACCAATTTCTGCAGTGATCGACCTTCTCTGTGGAGGAGCTAAGCCTTTCGTACGTCATCACTCCGCTGGTCGCTATGGCAACGTGAGTATACAATTGGCGATTTGGTAAGTTTGGCTTATCGTATGGAAACGAGAGATATGCCATTCGAACCGATATCAAAATTGTCTTTCTTCTGGACCCTACCCGAAAAATCGATGCACTTCTCCCTTAACTAAAACTTTCTACACGAGCTACATGTATACAGCCAGTACTAGCCCTTTCCCTAAGATGCCATAGTTTTCGCAACTTATGCTTTTCGCAACCGTGCCAAAACAAGTGCTAGTTGCTGAAATCGCATCCATATTTTCAGAAAAAGCTCAAAAGTTGCCAATGTCGCAACTCAAAATTGGAGAGTTCTTGTGCAAAACCTGCAAAACAGGGAGCAGAAATGCAGCGACGCTACGACAGCAAACTCGTACACCCCTTCCTGCTGTGGCACCACTTTACACATTGCCAGTAGCCTGTTGCATGTATCCTACATGTACATGTGCATCATTACAGTGCACGGAAAAGGGAATGCACATATTTATCGTAACTACCGTTGATCTACTGTTTCTCAGAAATGAGCCTGAAGGCAAGCGAGAAATGAGCGAGCAAGAGTATGCATTTGGCCAACAATGCAATATATCCATGTAGTGCCATGGGGCCAATTGCGCCAAGGTTGCGGAGAAGTTGCGAAATAGTTCCGGAAAATGAAGAAAGTTGTGATTTCTTCCTAACAAAGAAAAGTTCCGAAAAATGGGGCGAGCATCTTTGGGAAAGGGCTAGCCAGCACAGGGCCAATAAAATACATGTACTTGAAGTACAAAGGTAGCCCTTGGCGGACTATGCTGGTGTTAGGTACATAATTTCCGGCATAATCTTCGAATTTTGTCAGAAATTGTCTCTGTGAAGACATCACCAGACAAGGGAAAATAGTGAAGGGCATGTACATTCGGATAAAAGCCCAACAAGAAAATGCGGTATGCCACCCTCACGGTCTAATGTAGGCTTTCCCCCTTGTTGTGAAACCACAAGTTCTCGAGAGTGAAAGGCCTTCTCGCTTGTGACATTGTGTTCGTTCCAATGCAGCTGTATCCCGACTCCGCCGTACCGCTGATGTTTACGACGTAGTATACGCTACATGCGCTATGTGCGGTTTGCTGATTGCGCTGTAGTTGTATGTTGTATGTGTATGCTTTTCTCATATACGCTGTCATTTTCACGCTATAACTACCTGGTGGTTTTAGTGTTAGTCATTCAGTTAGTTCAGTTCATTCAGTTGTTCAGTTGTTCATTCAGTTAGTTTCAGTTGTTCATTCAGTCATTCATTGTTCATTGTTGTTAGTCGATGGAAGTGAAATATATTGTTGAGAATAAATAGTTGTCCTCGTGCCGTGTGGGGTCGTTCGTTCCTGATACTTTAGAGAACCAGAGGGTTCACAACATTTGGCGACCACGCCAGGATACGAAGCGAGCATGGCACAGGAACTATGGATCATTGAAGCCAGCTTTATCGCCAACGGAATTCGGTATGGATTTGAAGGCGATAGGTTGAGAGAATACGTGGAGAAGAGGCTCCGACAGAGCGAGGAGTTTGAAGAGCGCAGTGCTAGACGGCAAGAGTGTGCGCTCCGCGCAGAGTTTAACGAAAAGCTCAAGAAGATGGCCGAGCGCATCGCCGTCAGTACATATTATGAGGAAGCAAAGCGAGATTTGCTTGCCTCGCCCAGAAGGACGCCGGATAAGGCGTGTAAGACTTTGCTTACAGACAAGCAGCGGTCAGAAGAGTATTCGAAGCCAGTGGGAGGATCAGATCCAAGGCCCACTGGGTCGGTGCAGTGCATGGTGACATCGGTCGGAGACGCTCAGAAGCAGCTGGAGTCTCGGCCGAACGACGTAGAGGCGCAAGAGGCGCAAGAGTTGGAGGCGCAAGAGTTGGAGGCGCAAGAGTTGGAGGCGCAAGAGTTGGAGGCGCAAGAGCTGGAGGCGCAAGAGTTGGAGGCGCAAGACTTAGAAACGCAAGGCGTAGTAGCCGAGAAAATGAGAAGGGCGATACTACTGGTTAGCACGGAAGAAGTAAGCGGCGAGACTGTGTGGATCACAGAGATCCGATGTGTGTCCTCGGATTCTGCGCCCGCCGCGGGTCGAAGCAGTGTACCGGTGACCATGTCGTGTGTGACAGCCCACATCGTCGAGCTTTATGACATTATCGGTTGTGTGTTGTCTGGTCCAGCGTCTACCCCATGTCGAAGTGGATCGGTGACAGTGTCGTGTGCGACAGTCCACAGCGGCAAGCTTCGCGATGTCGAGTTTTCTGAATTGGTGGGCATTAGTGATATTCTACCATGGCCACCACCGCAACAGAAGATGACGCGTTGTAAGCCCCAAATCGTTTGACTTGTGAGTTGTTGTACGGCGGTGAGAAGCCCTTTGGTGGGGAGAATGTTGTGAAACCACAAGTTCTCGAGAGTGAAAGGCCTTCTCGCTTGTGACATTGTGTTCGTTCCAATGCAGCTGTATCCCGACTCCGCCGTACCGCTGATGTTTACGACGTAGTATACGCTACATGCGCTATGTGCGGTTTGCTGATTGCGCTGTAGTTGTATGTTGTATGTGTATGCTTTTCTCATATACGCTGTCATTTTCACGCTATAACTACCTGGTGGTTTTAGTGTTAGTCATTCAGTTAGTTCAGTTCATTCAGTTGTTCAGTTGTTCATTCAGTTAGTTTCAGTTGTTCATTCAGTCATTCATTGTTCATTGTTGTTAGTCGATGGAAGTGAAATATATTGTTGAGAATAAATAGTTGTCCTCGTGCCGTGTGGGGTCGTTCGTTCCTGATACTTTAGAGAACCAGAGGGTTCACAACACCCCTAATCGGCCCGTTTTTCGCCTATTCGGCTTTTCGCCCGGCTCAAAATTAAATCAGATTCGGCCGCAAAATCAGCTAATTGTTCAAAAATCGGCTGGAAAATTGGAATATAGTGGAAAATATAGCTATTATTATTATTATTATTATTATTATTA